AATAATAATAATAATAATAATAATAATAATAAGTCCCTTATGTGCAAACCTTCATTTGTGAACTTTCAAAGATGCGAATGTGCATTCACATGTCCAATCACGTGTTAGTTCACATGTCTGGCGAACATCGTCACTTCTGTGCACCCTCTACAAGTGGTTGTGCTTTTGTGTTACTGCACAGTGTAGTATATTTTTTAATGTATTATTTGTGTGAAAAGTATTATAGCCCTATTACAGTACAGTACGATCTAGCTGATTGTTAGCTGGATACTTAGGCTAACTTTCTTGGACTTATGAATGTGCTCTCAGAACAGAAGTCGTTCATACGTAGGGGACTGCTGTTCATCAAAATGAAAAGATTCTGACCGAGCACAGTGGCTCACGCCCGTAACCCTAGCACTTTGGGAGGCAGAGGCGGGAGGATGGCTCGGGCACAGCCTGGGCAACATGGCAAGACCTCGTTTCTGAAAAAAAGGTAGCCAGGCATGGTGGCAAGCACCTGTAGTCCCAGCTACATGGGAGGAGACTGGCATAAGGGTCACCTGAGCCCAGGAGGTCAAGGCTGCAGTGAGCTGTGGTCGTGCGACTGTACTCCAGCCTGGCCGACAGAGTGAGATCCCCCTTCTAGATAGATAGATAGATAGATAGATAGATAGATAGATAGGTAAATAAAGGAATGTGTTCATTAGATGATACTTTAGAAAGGGTGAAATGATAAACCACAGAGGGAGGTTGCAACACTTATAATTCACCAGGGATTACTCTCCAAGATCATAAACAAAGCACAATTTTATGTCTATAGGAAAACTGGAGTTTGGGCAGCATGAATAGCTTTGTCACCAAAGAAAAAATATAAATAGCCAATAGTAAGTAAAACATGTAAGTCAGGTACACGCAAACTAAGGCCAAAACAAAATAGCCATGAGCCTGGGGTAGAATCTGCTAAGCCAGTAGGCTTCTGGAGCCTTCGCTGTTGGCTGGAGCATGCGAGAACCTGTGGTTCTGGGAAACCCTGTCTTGCAAGTTGGCTGTGTGTGCGCCTCCAGGCCCCAGGAATTACTCGCGCGCATTCAGAATGAGGTTCGTCACAGGGCCGTGTCTGAAGCACTTGGTTAGAATCACCTCGGGTGTCTGCTAACATGGAGACTTCTGGGTTCCTCCGAATCTCTGGGGAAAGGAAACAAGCGTGCCTTTTAAACATGCATCCACGTGGGGTTCTACTGTCCAGCTTGGAGCCACTGCCCGAAAGACCCCCTTGCACGTGCACGCTGAGGACCAGAGCCAGGGGATGGCCCCAGGCTAGAAACAGCCCAAACTCACATCAGCAGGGCAAGTGAATGGTGGCATAACACACGGGGAACTACTCAATCACAGTAAGAACCAAGGACCTGCACAATCGTGTGCAGATGCAGACCTTGAGCTCAGAACATCACGTTGAGTGAAAACAACATAAAGCCATGAAGACTACAGTATGAAGCCGTGTATGGAAAAGCAAGCAGAACCAAGCCAACCCATCTCCAACTGTCTTCTGTCTCTCCTCTCTCTTTCTCAACATCCATCTGTCTGTCGGTCTATCTTTATCAACCATCTATCTCCATTCATCTATCTAATCTCTATATATCTCTCTCTCTCTCTATCTTTCTATAGCTCTATCATCTATCTATCCCTCTCATCCATCTAATCTCTATATCTCTCTCTCTCTCTCTTTCTCTCTATAGCTCTATCATCTCTCTCTCTCTCCATCTATCATCTCTTGCTCTCTCTACCTTTCTATCAGTCAGTCATCTACCTACTCCTACTTACCTCCATGACTCTTTACCTCTATTTGTGGTCAGATATTTTGGGACATGGGAATGAAGACACACAAAACTCAGCAGTGTTCTGGACCAGGAGATGAGGGGGAGAAGGCAGAGGCTGGGATCAGGAAGGGCTCGGAATTGGCAACGTTTGGTTCTCAATTTGGAGGGTGAGAACACAAGTCTTCACGTTTCAATGACCACACTTCACAATTTAGATATCGTTAGAGTATTCCTCTAATGAATCTAACATTATATTGTTAAAAAAGAGTAATATAAAAAATTCTAAAGAGAAAGTGTGTGCTGTTCCTAAGATAGAAAAAGTGAGTGCTGAGGAAAGGGAGAGGTTTACTAATACTTTTGACAGCGTCAGTCTCAAACCTACTGCGTAGCTACATTTTATTCACTTCATACATTAGTTCTTCCATCTGCAAACATGTAGTGTTGTTATTCCAAACTCTCTAATTTTCAGTCAGTGCACACATTTCATAAGAGGAAACACAAAGCCAATTTTGTTCCCAGATAATGTTCTTGAGGAAATGGTCACCGAGGAGCCGGGTGGAAAGGCAGTGTGCTACGCTGTGTCAAAACTGGGCTGCACTCAAATGCAGTTTGGAAATCCTCGCTTTGAAGCAGAAAATGCAATAAGGATTTCATTTACCAGGTGTGATCATAAAACAGTAAAAGCAGTTTTCTTATGTTGCTCATACACTGGGGCTGAAAATAATTCCAAATCCAGGAGACAGTCCAAACGTTGTGCTGTGTGATGGCCACATGCTGGAAGAAGAATGTTTATTCTCGCAGTCTGAGTTTGGGAAGACAGCATTTATTTGCATAGGTGGATGCGTTCTGGAATGTGTGCTGAGCACACCATCATTTCCTGCAACGGGCGTGTGTTACAAGGGGCTTCTAGCTTCCAAAGTGCTTCTCGATAAATAGTGTTGAATGTTCCACTGATAGACTTTATTATTTTCCTTTTTTACAGTAAAGTTACTTGTATGTGTTCTCTAACCAATCCCTGTGAGATGGAGCTAATTTTGTTTTTTCTCTGTTTTTCAACAGCTTTATTGCGGTGTGATAAACAGCACACGGAACATATTTAAAGTGTGACGAGCTTTGGCGTGTATATTCACCCGTGAAATCATCCCACAATCAAGATAAGGCACAGTCACCCCAAAGCTCACTCACACCCCTTCGTGCTCCCCGCAGTCCCCCTCGTCAGCTCACCCCCCGCTTGGAGAAGCGCTGGTCTACCTTTGTCGCTCGAGATGAGTTGGCAGTTTCTAGAATTACATGTGAATGCAGTGATACACCATGTACTTGCTTATTTTTGGCTTCTTTTTCCTCAGAAAAGTTGTTTTGGAGTCCCCGCCACTCGGGCGGCTGAGAGGGGAGGACCGCCTGAGCCCAGGAGGCCGAGGCTGCAGTGAGCCTGATCGGACCACAGCACTCCGGCTGGGCGAAAGAGTGAGACCCCAACTCAGAGTAATAAACTAGAAAATAAAATAATAAAATAAAAATATGTAAATACTGTGATGTACATTTTGTCACATTAGGAAAAGTTCTAAAAAAAGAAAGCGTGTTTTGAGATTAATTTATGTTGTAGCCTATGCCAGTATATTCCTTTTTATTGCCGATAGGATTTCTTTGTGTGGCGACACCACAGTTGCTTATCCATTTGCCTGCTGATGGACATTTAGATCGTGTCCAGTTGTTAGCCGTTTCCAAGACGGCGGTTAGGAACATCTCTGTACAAGTCTCTGCCAACACAGGTCACTCTCCTGGCGACCCTGAGTGTGGAAGGGCTGAGCACGTGGCCGGCGGGCTGCACCTTTCACTTTTCGAGGACCTGCCCGTGGGTTTCCGAAGTGACCACTGGAGACTTCTAGTTTCTGTTCCTATGTGCAAAGAGCTTGAAGTCATCCCTCCTTCCCTTACGCCAAAAAGTGGCCAAAAGTAGAAAATCAATTATCCTTCTTAGATGTTATAGACACTTGAGGTCATGGGCACATGGGAGAAACCAGTGGATGCAGAGAATGACAGTTTGAGTGACAAGCCCAGGAAGGGACATGGGCCGGGGCTGCCGCTGACCCGAGGGGGGCCGGGGGTCCCCCAGAGTCAAGCCCTTGGAAGCCACAGCTGAGAGGCCGCCGGCTCCCACGGTGAAGACTGAGCAGAAGCCCTCCCGCGCGGCTCACCCTGAGCTCAGCCAGTGCTTCCTCCCCGGAGGCCGTCTGCAGCCTCACCACAGCCTCGCCTGACCTGGGAGGGGAGGCCACGGGGTCCAGCCCCCAACTCCTGTCTCACAGAGGGGAGATGCCCTGGAAGTCACGTGGGATGCTCACAGCCCGGGGCAAGCCCCCCACGCACCCCATGAGACCCACTCATGGGACCACCTCTCGGGATCCCACAGCCACAGAGCACCCAAGGATGGTAGAGGAACAGGCCCAGCTCTGCTTAGGGGGAGTTTCCAGGGGATCCAAGAGAGCTGGGTGCGCAGACCCAGGCGCCGGAGGGAGCGAGGCCTGGGCCCCCCAGCACAGAGCCCGAGCCAGCCTCACGCCGGACACAGCGCAGGAGCTCTCCCTCGGGCCTGCTGTCCCCTGCTTCACGTCTAGCTCCCAACCAATGCCTGGAGGCATGCCAAAAGTCAAGATGAAAAGGCACCGTCCGAAGAGACCAGGCAGCGTCAGACAAGACCCAGGTACGGCAGAGACGTGGAACCAGCGGAGACTGGAAACAGCCACATCGACACCTGACGGGCGCGGGTGGAAAGCGAACAGCAGGCATGAATAGACAGGCGACAGGCAGAGAGAGGGGCGGTCCAAGGAGGAGGGGGCGTGCCAGTGTCACAGACCCCAGCGGAAGTGCAGAAGGCTCTGACGGGCTTCAGGGCGAGGAGGGACGTGGTGGGCTTCCTCACAGGTCAGCCGAAGCCACTCCGGCTGAAGGCAAGGCGGAAAAGGTTGAAAAAAGTTGGACTCCAAAGACCGCGCCCAAGGGTGCCTGCAGACACAGGATGACGTTTTAAAATTAACATTTACACGTGACCAACACTTACGAAGCAGAAGATCATGGTCCAGATTTTTGCCTTTCTTCAACTATCAGACTACCAGGCAAAATTGGCTGGTCTGTCCACATTGCCACAGCTGGGAATTGCTTACGGCTGAGCTGCACGGGGCAAACCAGACTCCTCCCGGCCACTTGGCCCTGTCGCGTCCACGGCCCAGCCCCAGCAGGATTGGAAGCTGCACCCATGAAACACTTGCAAGCCCTTCCTACATTTGACCTCCAGAGCCAGCTTCCGTGCTGAGCTCCAGACCCTGACACCTGAATGTCCTGGATGGCAAAGCTCATCATGTCAACATCTATTTTTCCACGGTGTTTTATTATGGAAATCTGCAAGCCCACAGAAAATAAAAGCCCATTTTTCTACCACTCAGCTTTAGGATTAACATTTTACATTCTTGGCCAGTGGCTGTGGCTCACGCCTGTAATCCCAGCACTCAGGCTGAGGTGGGAGGATTACCTGAGGCCAAGAGTTTGAGACCCGCCTGGGTAGCATAGTGAGACCCTGTCTCTACCCAAAAATTGGCCAGGTGTGGCATCATGCATCTGTAGTCCCAGCTACTCGGGAGGCTGAGGCGGGAGGACTCCCTGAGCCCAGGAGGTTGAGGCTGTGGTGAGCTGTGATTGTACCACTATGCTCCAGCCTGGGCCACAGAGTGAGACCAGAACTCAGTTACATGCATGTCCATATATATCTCTTGTGTTTTAAATTTATGTTTGCCTGGTATATCTTTTTCCATCCTTATCCTTTTTATTTCAAACTACCTGTTTCTGAAGTGAAATTCTTGTGGACTACATATCGTTGGGCCAGTTTTCATTAAAAAAAAACATTCTTCCAATTGCTGACTATTTATTGCTGTATTGAGACTATTTACTTTCGAAGTAATTATTAGAAATTAGGACTTAAGATTGTCTGTTTCCTGTATTTCTCTTTCCTCCTTTCTTACCTTTCTGTGGGCTGATTCAATATTTTCCACAATTCCATTTTGATACCCTTTTAGTGTTTTTTTAATATACGTCTTAGTGAGTTGTTCTGGGTATTACACGTGCATACATCACTCAGTCTACGGTGCCAGCATCCTGCCATCTGAGTGACATGTGAGAGCTGGACCTTGAACTGCTTGTCCTTCCTATGGTTGAAGTGCAGCCGGCAGGAGCATTTGTTCCGCAGACACCAACCACTGCATCAGACGGTTTCCTGATTTTTTAACCCTCAAACATGATTTCAAAAACTCACGCAGAAGAGGATACTCTGTCCTACTCATCCCTCATGTTCTTGTTCCTACGTTCTTTCTTCTTTTCCGAGGTCCCGGGGTTGGGCTTGCGTTTTCTTTCAGCTGGGAGGGCTTCCTTTGGCTACTCTCTAAGAAGTGCAGTTCTCTTAGCAACATACTCCCTTGCTTGTTTTCGTTTGAAACTGTCTTTATTCTTCCTTCGTGCCTAAGGAATGTTGTTGCTGGACGTAGAATTTGGGGTTGACAGCCGTTTTCTTGCAGCACTTGAAAATGTTGCACCCCTTTCTGTCGGCCCCCATGGTCTCAGATTCGAAATCTGCCATGTTCAAATGGGGCTTCAACTCTAGGCAATTTGCTGTTTCTCTCTGGTTGCTTTCAAAATGTCTTATTTGTCTGCAGTTTTTAGAAACTGAATCATGATGTGTCTTGGCATGACTCTTGTTTGAGGCTTGTGAAGCTTCTTTCATCTTTATGCTTGTGCCTTTTGCAAAATGTGGGCAGTTTCCAGCTATGAGTTCTTTGAGTTTCTTTGACTCCTCCCCTCAGCCTCACCCGCTTTTTCCTCTCCTTCCGGACCTTTGACGCTACGAACTTTCATTTCTTGCTGCTGCCCCACTGGCGCCTGAAACTCAGTTTCGCTTGTGCAGTCTACTTTAGCTCTGTTTCCAGACCGTAGTTTCGATCGCTGTGTCATCGAAGTCCCTGACCCTTCTTTTGCTGTGTTTATTCTCCATTGAGTTTTGGTTTTGGTGGCTGTATTTTTCGGCTCGACGATTTCCATTTGGTTCTTTCTGTATCCCCCATTTGTTTGTCCGCCTTTTCTCCGTTTTCCATTTGCTCTGAGACAGTGTCCAGTGTGTGTGGCGTTGGGCGGGAGAGAGCAGGGTCAGAGGCTGCAGCTGGAGAGTGTGTCCCACTCTGTGTGGGGAGGGAGTCCCCCCAGTCCCTGCGGATGCCACCTAGAACGGGGGAAGCCATTTCCCCGCGTCTCCCGGGCTTCCTGTTAGGGGCACGGGTATAGGGAAACGCCAAGCTGGCTGTGGGGGCAGCGCTGTCTCCTGCTGCTTCCTCTGACCCGAAGCACTTTCCAGGACCGTTTGGCCTCGCTGGATGGGGTCCGTGGCCCCAGGACTGCAGGGCTCAGGGTCCACCCAGACCGCCCGCGCTGCTGGCCTCCTGGCGTCCTCTGCCAGCCCCTTGGGGGCCAAGGAAACCTGGGCCTGCTGGTCGGTCGGTGAGCGGTGGGAACACTGGCTGGGCTGCCGCTGCCTGGTGGGACCGGGCTCTTCCTCATGTCCGGCCCAGCCAGCCCGCACGCCTCTTCTGCCTGCGACTCTGGCCGTCACCCCGCGGGGAGCGGCCGGCCGCGGGGTCTTGTCAGAACCAGAACTGTTAGATGTCCACGGTGTCTTAGGACGAAAAGCAGTGTCACATTTTGATGAGATCCAAACGATCAGGTTTCTTACAAGCCTTCCACAGCTCTCCTTCTCTCCTGTGGGAGTTGGCAAACATTACTCCAGGGGTCAGATAGCAAATAATTTAGGCATCACGGGCTATACTGTCTCCGTGGCAGCCGTTCAGCTCTGCGGTCGTTGTGAGTCTGACAGGGACAGTCTGCAGGGGGCGGGCGCAGCCGTGCTCCAGGTGAACCGGCAGTGTGATGCCTGTGACCCAGGGATGGGCGGTCCAGGTGCCCCATGGCTGGATCCCATCCCATCTCCACGGCTGTGCTGGCTACATGTGCTGCATTCCGCCCGTGGAACCGCCTCAACCCTTACCCCCCGCCCCGTGTCACCGACGTGCCTCCAAGCCTTTGCTGCAAGGCCTCTGACCCCCCGCTGCTGTTGGTGGTGGTTTTTGCCCTCATGGGGACTGCAAGTCCCGCCGGAGATGTGTCCCTCTCCCAGCCCCGCGCCTGAGTCACGGCGACACTCAGGGGCGGGCCAGATGTGCGGTCGCCTTGGGATCCTGAGAGAGCAAACCTTGGCCTGAAAGCGTGTGTGGCCCTTCCCCACTTCCCGTCCTCATGCGTCCAGCAGGTTCGTCTAACGGGTTCCCACACCACCTCTTTCTGTCCCCTCCTCCCACCGCCCCATCCTAGGAAGTCCACACTGCCTGCATCCTTGAAACTGTGTGTGGGATTGCCGCCCCCGCAGAGATGCCCCTTTTCCCCCCGCCCTAACCTGAGGCCTGGGTAATTGACCCTGCACATCGTGTTAGAGGCTACTTGCCTCCTCGGTGAGTTTCTCCAAGGCTAGAAAACAAAGTCAATACACAAAAAACAGTTTTCCTCCTCCGGAACGTGGGCAGCGTCCCCTCCCTCTCCCGGGAAGTCGGAAGTGCTGAGTTCGTGTCGTGTCCCGTGACCTGGGTAGCCTGGGAAAGCCAACGTCGCCGCCCCCGCCTCCGGCCACAGCCACGGGCGCCACCGGCCGGGTGGGAGGCCGCTGGAGGCCCCGGGTGGGCTGCTCTGGCAGTTACCAGCGTTGGCAGACATCGCAGGGCGGAGATCGCCTCACCCACAGTGCCTGTCTTAATCGCACGTGAGTCTCTTCTGCGAGTCAGGCCTGGCAGGAAGGTTGGTCTGCTGTGGGCCGAGCGGCTCTGCCGGCTCTCTTTGTGAGGAGGAGGGCTAAGGGAGAGCGGCGTTCCCAGCCTCTGCTGCTCCCTCCGAGGCGCCTGGC